CAAGGACAGTCTGAGAAGGCTTCCCATGGGTATTTAATTTCACTATTTAACAGGTTTTAATCAATGCCGAAGTACTGCCAGTCCTACAAGCACCCTCTCATTGGAACTGTGCAGCAGTGGGACTGTAACAGCTATTTGGAAAAAGCAAGATTTGCAGTAAGTTCTAAATATCTCCTCCAAGACCCTATTATTCACTTATTTGTTGACCACAAATATGTGTAAATCTTTTTTAGCTTTTTTATCTACATGGATGGCTATATGTGGTATTTTTTGTGCCAAGCCCTGAAACCCAGAAGACATTTCTCCAGCTGCAGACACTGATCTGCCTTGGGTGTGTTCTGGCCACAGCTATGTGCGTGCAAAGCAGGATCTGAGTGCTTGGGGCCAGGGCATCCCTGCGACTCTGAGAAGTCCCCTGGAAGAGGAGCCTGTGATGGCCTCCAAGAGAAGAGCTCCAAGAGTTTGGCTCTTGGCTTTGGAGAGCTGCACAAAGCTGTCACCTCTTCTAGGACATGCAGTAATAGAACATCTTCAGTCCCAGTTTGGCAGAGACATAAATACCTTTGAACTTTATGCATCTAAATGGTTTTGAGGATGGTTCATGTAATGAAACTGACTCTCAGTTCCACTTGTAGGTATTTTTGTTGATTTCCATCCATACACTCAGCAGGAACTGCTGTGACATCAGTGGAGTTGATGTGATTTGCACCAGCAGATTATGCTGATGTTCACTGGTCAACTGCCTAAATGCCTTTGCACTTATACAGAAACATGTTTAAAGAACTGACAGAGGAAGAAGAGATCTTTTGTTCAAGGCACCAATGCCTTACATGCAGTCCAAATGCACATATTCAACATCCCCCTCTCAAAAAGTGTTCCTCACTCCACAGCAAAATATCCCTGTTGATGTGCATGGATCCTCTTGAATCACACTCCCACAATATGTGTAAAAAGGTGCTGCCCAAGTCCTGTTTTGTTCACCTGCTTGTTATTGTCTAGAACAAATTTAGACTGGGAAAAGAGATGCTGTCAGGTCCAGACTGAATTTGCATTACTTGCTTCTCAGCCTAGGACTTGTTGGAGCCCCTCTGATTTTTGTCTGATAAAGAGGATTGCCTCCAGACCACACTGCATCCCTGTGTTAATGTGTATGGTGCTACTGTGTCTCAGCTACTTACTGGTGAGATCACCCAGTGAGACCTCCTCACTCAGGAGGTATATAAGACATGGAGGGAAGTTGTCCCTATTCAGTCTTTCATCCTAAGTGGTGCAAAAGGTGATGAGCAGAGCAGAGAAGCAGATCTTTAGTAATGGGTGCCATCTGACATCTGAATCTGAATGCTGTTCATCAGGTCCGTGAGGAAAGCAGCAGGGCTCTGGGCATCCCCTCTTTTTCAGAAAGGCTAGAGCTGCCCTATGATTGTTTACCAAGAGAACTCTCTTGCACATGCTCCATCCATCCCCAAGAGTTGCACATTTACAACCTTATTTTGGTAAATATGTCTGATATTCCAGGAGTTTGGCTTTCCTGGTTCCAGCATATCAACATGTTGTACCACACAACAGTGCTGAGTCAAGGAAGTGACACCACTTGATAAGAAAGGACCACTATTTTTTGCCCCTCAAGTGGTTTGAACAGATCATCTAGCAAATTAGATGCTCTGCAATTATTTCAGTTAACTCTGTGTCATTTAGTAAGTGGTCGTGCATGGTCATGGCCCTGACTAGAATTTCTCTGTGTGTCCTTTGTGTTAAATTAATTTCCAGGGTCACTCTGAGCTTCTAGCTGGGGTGACAAATTGGTGATCTACTTCCACACTGCACTCATTCATCTGCACTCCCTGCACAGCAGCATTTCTGAAAGGCTCAGATTTCTCCTGTCTCCCTTCTCCACGTACAGCAGGCTCGAATGCCTCTCCTTGCAAACATTAATTGAAAACAATTAAGAGCCCCTCTCTCACTCTTCATCCTTCATGTGGCAGCCAGAGAGAGTTTTCTCTTGGGATCTGCAGGCTTCTTTCCCTGGTGAGAACAGCTGATTCTCGTTTGACCTTTCTGACATACAGACAAAGGTAACTCAAAACAAGGATGGGTGTTAAGTAAGTCCCTTTAGCTAATAACTGCCTTGAAACGCCTCTGCAAACACCCCTGGAGAGACAGCATGGGCTGTTCTGCATCGTGATGCAACAGTGATTTGTTGCACCTACAAAACGTCCTCACAATTGTGTGAAATTGAGTGTGAAGAAGCAGTTGAATCGCAGTTCATCAAACATAATTAATCTGAAACAGCAGCAGAAATAGTCCTTTTATCTTGCCTAAAGGTTGATGATATAGATAGAGCACCCCAGAATCAAAAAAGTGACTAAGCAGATGCTTGCTACTCTGTGAATTCTTTTATAATGCAAAAATGGCTTTTATCTCTCAGTGTCTAGTTTTGAGTGCTAATCACTGTGCTGCCAGGGTGCTTTGATAAATGGCAATAAATATATTTAACATATGTTTAGTTTATTAAAAAAATCTATCTACTTCATGTAATTTGGAGACAAAAGAGAAAAAATACAACATTTATAAAGGTCTGTTATGCAAATTTGGACTGTAACTAGCTCTTTGATCAGAATCCCCAACAAGGAAGGGGAAAAAAAAAAGAAAAAAAAAAAAAAAAGGACAAAGAAACTTAAAAAAAAAAAAAAAAAAAAAAAAAAAAGATGATAGACCTTCAGGTTGCATGATCTGTGCTGTGAAGAGTGTCTCATTTTCCTAATGATGCTACATAGACTCTCCCTTATCCCCACAGAACTTGATGAAGCATGGGCTCAAAAAAGTGAGTAAAATACATAAAGGGAAACAGAGCAAGGGAAATAGAGCAAAATAAAGGGAAAAGAGCAAGATCCAGCAAACAGACACACCGCCAGCACCACCTTCACCTTAGCCAGCAGGATGGGCTGACATTGCGCAGAGTATGAGATTTTTGCATTGAAAATATAGTGGTGTGGGGGTTACAGTGCTTCTGTCCCCAGATGCCTGAGTATCACCTGGCCACAGCAGCCAGTGGGTGCAGCCTCGATGCCCCCTCCTGTTACAGAGTAGATAATGACTAATGGTCTGGTCCAGACCACAGAGCAGATTTAGAGATGAATAACATAAACATGTGAAAATTGCTTACTTTATATAACCAGAGGGGCTCGGGTATTTTCTTTACACTAAGAAAGACACACTGATGATAAGAAAGCTAGGCTTTTAAAATACATTCAAGGATTTGGACTCTAAGCAGCAGATGTTGAAGGCTGCATATGAGACACAAATCATAGCCTTGCGTCCCAACCCAGACTGTTTAACCACAATAGATCCTTTGCAGATTCCAACAGTCTTTTGATTCTCTGACCCTTGCATTTTCTATACACTGTCAATTTTAACTGAATAGTGTACTTTTAAAGGCATGGAAATGTCTGGAAAGTACCTGTAATCTCTCCTAGACCTGGCTTTCACTCGCTACACAAGTACATATGTCAATTTAAATTGCCTCACCATGGTTTTATCGTACATGATTGCAACATGAGGGAGTTGAGATGGCGCCTGTTCTTTCCATTTGCTGTTTGAGAACATTTGTGCTCTTAGTCAAGAAAGAGGTCAGAAAAAAAGCACAGGCCTCAAAAACTTCTCAAATTAGCCTGGCAAACACACCTCAGTTTCTGTAGCCCTCAAGTAGGTAGATGTCATTATCATTAACTTCACATTAGTCCAATTCAAATGACCACGAACCCATTTACAGCCAGGTCAACAGTAAAGCAGCTTTCAACAGGAGACCAAGATTGAATGTGTCCCCCTGCCTTGAGGATCATTAAATGTTTGTTTGAAACACTGAAGTAAAAGCTCAGGTAACATTTTCTTTTCAGGGCTTCACCCCTGGATTTGAAACTATGTCATCGAAAGCAGAATCCAGCCCCAAGATGATCTGCGAGGGAGGGAACAATGCTGCAATAACAGTCAAGCTCGCTGCCCTGGCAATGAATGCTTATCTCACACTGCTCTCCCAGTGAGTAATGTTTAAAATAAATAAATACTGCAGGGGAGTTGCTGTTAGTGCAATTGTTGGGTTGTATTCTCGTGGCAAGCTTTTTATCATAATAGTGCAGCAGGAGTACAGTGTGTTTGCAAGGCAAGTATGAGCCAGGGCACAAAAGCACATAGAGTCTGTTAATAAATAATGGACTCTGTGCATGAGGGCTTTACAGTGTGTCTTTAAAAAGTCAACCCCCTTCAAAGTACAATAATATGCAAGTGCTATTGAAAAAAAAAAAAAATCAAACCAAAACAAAATGGAGATATTTAATTCCTAGGCGCTGGGAATGGCAGACATCTCCTCTGGAGAGAGTGCAAACCATACAAGTGTGATGGCAGCTGCAGCAGTACCTCGGTTATACAGTGATGTGCCTTTGTGTTCCCCTATTTGTGCTCAGTTTGCTCATGAACTATGATACCTTGAAAGTCTTTCCTATATCTGAAGACTATTATATAGTCAGGGGCCTACTTCCTCAGCAGGACTCAGGCATGCTGGCATTTCATGGATTTGATGGTGTCATACCATACAGAGGTCTAAAACTTATCATTATCTTGGCTTTACGAGTTAGCAGAAGTAAATGCCTACATCTTAACCTTTCCAGTGTAAGGACACAACAGAGTAGGAAGAGGAAAGATAGCCAGGGGCCCCATAATTTTGCTGTACAAAGCTCACAGCAGTTCTTAACTTCACTGAAGAGGAACAGTTAATTTCACTGAATTGAAGGGAGATTAGGCCGTTGACTTTAATGGGTGGGACCTCTTTCTAAAATATACATCCCTGGCCCATCAGGACAATCTATGACAATATAAGCACATATTAGCAGAAAACACTGCTTTGCACAACTTGAGAACTGCCTGATACCAAGCTGGGCGTGTCAACCCAGCACTTAATCCACCTGTAAGTAAATCATTGCAAAGAGTAAGAAAAATTAAACACTTACTTGGTCCAAGACCTATGGAAAATGCAGCAACATAAACAAGCAGGCTGGCCAGCGAGAGCCATTTCAGGACAACAGGAACCTCCCCACTTTCCATGTGAGACCCTGTTGTGCTTTTGCCTCCTGCCAGGGCAGTCCCGTTCAGTTCTCCTGTCCTGACATCTGGGCTTTTCTGTGCACGAGAAGACAATCTTTCTGATGAAGCCATACTAGAAAAGAGGTCCTTGAGACTCCCATTAATGACACCAGTGAGGTTTCTCGGTCTCTGGAGAAAGAAATCCTCTGGAGATTGGCTTCTACAGACACTGGTGAGATTCATATGTATGTTACGGTTCACTAAGCCCATACTGACCAGCGATACTGCCATAACAGAAGAGCCAATACACAGAAAAGTTTTACTTCCAACTTGATCCACAAAAATCGTGGCTGGGACTGTGCTGACCACTTTAACCACTCCAACTCCAGTAGAAGCCAAGCTGGCAGCTTCATTGCTCTGGAACCCAACTGACTTCAGAACGGTTGATGCATAAAATAAAATGTTGGGTTGCCCAGTTGTTTGCACAAAAAAGACTAGGGTGAGTCCTACCAACATTCGGGCCCTCATGTTGTTTTTTGAACGAAACAGGTCCAAGAAATGATACTGATGTTCATCTTTCAGAGAAGACTTGATCACGGCAAGTTCTTTAGTAGCATCTGATGTTTCCCGTAGCTTCTCCAGTACCTTTCTTGCAGCTTCATCGTTATTTTTCATTACAAGAAACCGAGGACTTGGAGGAAGGAAATACATGGCAATAGCCTGCAAAGCACCTAAGGGAATCACAAGGCCAAACATGTACTTCCAGCCATGAGATATGCTGGCAAACGCATAATTTGAAATATAGGCTAAGAGAATGCCTATCACAATCATGAGTTCATTTAATGATACGAGGAGGCCTCTTCTGTGCTGTGGGGCAATCTCAGCAATATACACACATGTTGCAATTGATGATAATGAGATAGAAATACCTATGGCAATCCGTCCCACAATAAGTATCCCATATGATTCATAGGGCAGTAAAATCAGACTCCCCAACACAAGCAAAGAAGATGCAATAATAATAGCAAGTCTCCTTCCAAATCGGTCTATCAGGAATCCACCAGTAAGTGATGCAAATAAGGCCCCAAAAAGCAGGGAACTTACAATGATTTCTTGCTCCTTGCAAGACAGTGCTAATATGCTGCTCATCTGAAGAAGAGCTCCAGAGATAAGGCCCAACTCATAACCCATCAGAAGTCCACTTACAGCAGCAACAGCAGAAGATAGAAAAGTAAATGATCCACAGCCTGAAAAAAATAGAAGAAACACAAAAACTTGAAAGTGTGACTTCTGCAACATTCATAATAACTTTATTTGATATACCAGCCCAAAAAATCTTCTTGTAAATTTTAGGCAAAGCAGTTAGGTGCATACAAACCCAGCAGCAGTAGTAGGCTTTCAAAAAGCTAATTTTGAAAAGAAAAAAATAATTAAATATTGTAAAATTCATATAAAACCCTCTTTAATTTTAATGCTTTTGAGTTCATTATCTTCCTGATCAGAGGTCAATAAGATCTTGATTGTGCCCTAAATAATTAAACCTTTTGTCTCAGAATATTATTGCAAAAGGCCACACTGACAATACAACCTTCTGGTAAGAAAGCAATTTTTGCTTTGAGGCATTCTCAGTGTTTTTCCTGTACTACATTGAGGATCTTGTCCACCTAATTAAGGCATCATGGGCAAGGAAAGCAGCAATTTCCCAGCCAAATTGCTTTAACCTTGACTTGATTAAGTATCAAGTTAAGTTTTCCCTCACCAGTTACTAATTCCTTTGCTTCACCTGAGGATGCCATGAAGGCTGCTGGTACCAGTGTTTTTATTTTGCCAAATGGAAATTTACCCACTGAACACGAGGCTGCTCCAGATATCTGGGCTATTCTACAGAAACCACTCTTTGAGGTACAAATTCATGAACTTTCTGGGTTTTGCTCGTCACTAATCTCAGATTCTTCACAATATCATGATCAAATATTTCACATAGTTTATGACAGCCACAATGTCAGGAATAAAAAAGAGATGGTGAAAACATAAACCAAATGGAGATTATATGCCTTTGAATGTCCACTTTAAAACAAACTCATTTTATACAACTGCGATTCATTGTTTATTGTTACAAGATAGATTTGACTGATCCTATTCTGCTAACTGTGAAGCTTTTTGCACCCTAAACCTTGAGGAATATATCAGTTTGTTATTGTTGGTCTTGTTCTTTATCCCAGCACGATTTTCCTCTCATCATGATGTTGGCTGCCACACAACTAGGAAAAGAGTAAATTGACTTCTGATTTTCCAGTTAGTTGGACAGATAGGACGTGTCTGAGGAGAGGTAGTTTTTGCAACATAACGGAGTCCGTATTTCAGTTAATTCTCCTGGAACAAGTTCTTTCCAGCTTGGCTGGAAAGTGGTATATAGTCTAATTGAAAATGATACGTAGACTTTGTTTATTTTTAGCTTATTTTTCTAAAGCATTAAGGCTCTTTGATCACACTGACTGCCTGGAGTTCCTTGCCAGTAACTTTTGAGCATGTTGGCAAGGATGAGTCCCATTTTATGGAGAATATTACATTTCTAAAGCAAATCATGAGAAGCGAGAAGGAGAGCAGCCCTAACAGTATGTCTGCACTACTAAAATAAACATTGTCAGAGCCCAGTGTCCAGACCCTGACACATGACCATGTATCCTACTAAATTGCTGGCACGGTCCCTGGCATGGTCGTGCCCCGAGCCACTTTGTGCTCTCCTAACCATTCCCAGGGTCAGCTTGGTTCTTGGCCTGAGCCCACCATCACACCCTGCAGCCACTCCGCAAAGGCCGGCTTATTTTGAAGGGTAGCAGAGCATAACTGTGTGAACATAAGCTGTGCTTCCAGGGTCAGGGGAGATGTGTAAACCCGTTAAGTCTACTAGGAGAAGTACCGCCCGTCTGCTCTCCTACCTGGCTCTGGGTTCGCTGCCTTTGAGCCAAGCCGAAGCCAAGCGGCGGCAGCCCCCGGCTACTGAGTGCACCCAGCAGCTTCAGCCCACTCTGCCTCTGGGCTCGGGTGGCTGGAAAACCAGAGACAGACAAGAGATGGGCGAAAACCACATGGTTTTGTTATGATGGGCCGTAAGGCCATGGGGGAAACGGGGGTATTGTGAGAAGTGTTTCCGAAGGTGGGGGTGGATGGTATATTTATTGTGATGGAGGTGGGGCAGCTTGAAGAAAATCTCAGAAACAAATTTTTGAAATGCTCCTGTGAAGGAATGATTTTTTTTTAGATTGTTGTCATCCATGTCTGTATTATGTCTAAAGCTTTTACTTCCTTTATGTGTGTAGTATCCGAGATCATTGTACTTATTTTAAACTGAGGTTAGTGCAAGGGTTAGGGCAAGGACCTGCTGTACTTACTTCACACACTGAACATCGCTTCAGTGAAAGTATTACTAACTCCAGTTAAGCTGCTTTGTGCTACGTGTGCTCCATCCTCCAATGCATGCATACAATATACGTTTTATCATTGCAAAACCTAATTCCTCCCTGCCCTTTTTACTTTTGACTTGTCTGTTTGCTGTATAGATCTGGAAAATAGACCCATCCAATGAGTCCTGGATGGAAATCAGGACTGGTAACAACAGTGTTGTGCTGAATGAATGAGCTTGGGTATCAGAAGCTACACTGCTAATTTGATCACAGTACTCTGCCCAAACTAACGCTCAGTGCTGATATTTGTGCTTTCTTGGATATCTCTGTATTTTATGTCACTGAGCCATGTAGATTTAACCTAAGATTTTGCTTTAATTTTTATATTATGAAGCCAAAAGAGACCATTGTGGTCATCCAGTCTGATATTCATGAATATCACAACATAACCCTTCAGACATGTTTAAATGACATTTTATTTAAAATAGGCCATTTAAAATATTCGGCTTTGATTTAAAAATTGCTAGTGGTTGAAAGCCAATGACTTTAAGTCATAAATTGTCCCAGTGGTTAATTGCTTTCACTGAAAATTATTTCTGGACTTAATTTCTGCAACTTCAGATTCAGCCATCACATTTCTCCATTTGATTGCACATAGCTGTGTTCACTAAATACAAAATTATATCCTGTCATCGAGTCATCCCACAGACCTCTCCTTGATAAGCTACTTAGCCTGTGAAGCTTTGCAAGTTTACCAGTCCCTTAAGTATTCAAAGCCCTGCTCTCTGAACTGTATCCAGATTATCAACTTCTCCCATAAATTGTGAGCTGGACCTAGTGCTCCTGCAGTGCTTGCACAGTGGAATATAGGAACTTGATATAATTGTCCCACTCCTGGTGGACATTTTGCCTCTACTCATCTAAGGATTGTCACAGATGTGTACAAGAGCTCATCTTCTGCTGGTTATCCTCCAGGACAAGCAACTTCTTTTCTGACTGTGTTCTTTCCAAGTCACTGCATTTCCTTTAAATATGGCCTTCCTTCCTGCATCCTAGCTAGGAATGCAAACTTAAGATTTGTCTGTATTAAAACACATAGGATGGGTTCAACTTACCTAACTGAGAAATCTACAGCATCTCCAGATTTCTTCTGTAACCACTTGTGAAAAATAGGTACTTCTACATGTCTGAAGTAGGTCAGATGCCTATTTCTTTCCATTGCCTATAAAAGGAATCTGTGTGGCTTGCTCAGATGCAGATGTCTAAAGTTAGCTGAGAGGAACTCCAGACAGCACATTCACTCACAGTCAGCAGGCCAAGCTATCTGAATTGCATTCAGCCAGTGACATATTCCATTTATTAATCACCCATCACTTTTATCACCCACAAGTGATTCATTATTATCTTCTTCCAGGCAATTGAGACAAAAATGTTAAATAACAGAGGGACAAAATCTGAGTTTAAAGCTCTCCAACAGAAACTGAGCAGTGTAGGCACTGTCTCCTACTGATACTTTCAGGTCACTGTCCTGCATGGCTTTTAATTCTTTATATGTGTGACTGTCAGTTTTGTAAGGTTCCAGTTTCTGATTCAGAAATGACAGTACCAGGTCAAATATCTTGATGGAGTCCAGCATCAGCATTGTGCTTTACAATCCCAACTGTGCTCTCCTCAGCCTGTGGTCCTCAGATCAGAGCAACCGAGGTGATTATTTATTTTTAACTAGAGAGGCTGTACGGGCTGGGTGTGGAGCTTGGACACCTGGGAAGTTGCTAGGGAAGCACTCAAGCTCATATATTTATTGCTTTTTCAAGTACAGCAGCTTGATGGAAGTCTTAATGTTTCTTTGGTTTGTTTTTACTGGGTCAACTGGTATCCTCGTTCATGTGTCCAGTGACACATGCCCACAGTCATACAGAAATAGCGAAGGGCTGTAACTAAAGCAGACCCCTGAACGAAGAGCAGATTCTGATATGTTGCAGAGGGAGACACACTGCATTAGCAGCAGCAGACTCAGAAGTTAACTCGGTGCCTCTTGTCCCTCACAGGCACTATTCTGCTGAGAGACATCCTTATATCACTATAAGGTTTTGTTGTAACTGGTATACATAAGACTTGCCTGCTCAGAACTGCCTGCTGAGTTAAACCCTGAAATCTCTGCTCGGTTTTCCTTCATGGTCTTCCTCCCGATAAAATTCCCTCTGACTTCAGCATATGTTTTGCTTTAGCATATCCAGATAAAGCATGTTGCAGTAGTTGTACTGACAATCCTTTTAAGTGTCACTTTTAATGATGTTGCTGGCAGTTCTTAGGCATTCCTATTTTTATAAAAAGCTTCTCAAAATTTATATTCCTCTTATTTTTATGAGATGCCTGCAAAATACATGGCAGTGTGCAGCCCAGGGGAATAAAATATTTTAATGATGACTTCCAGAGAAATTTCTCCTGCCTGCAACAGGCACCATGGTTAACGAGTGTGTGGCTAGTATATGACAAGTGATTGGAAAGTCTATTCTCTATTTTCTCCATGTAAACAGAATGGTTTCTCACAACTGTTACTCAGGTCAAAAGCAGCACTGCTTGGAAAACAAACTTATCTTTAAGAACATTTACTGGAAATGTTTATGCTTGGTTCCTGAAAAGGAGACCAAACACAGTTGTAATATAGCACAGTGTACTGTTGATGAGGCTGGATGGGGCCAAGAAGTAAGGGTGTGCCCCTTTACTTAATTTCAAACACCTATTTGGGAAAATACAGTCCTTCCAAAGGCAAAATATTTGGTCTGTGCATGTATTTTATAGGTATTACAGATAAATGATCTGTGTCAAGAGGGATCTGCAAGCAGGCTGAGCTGGGAAACACCCTTCTTCCCCCTGCTTCATGTGTAGAAGAGGTCTGGGAAAGGTGCCTCAGAGCACCTTACAGTTCATCTTGGCAGTATCATGTTCCACATTAGTCCAGAGAGTGAGATTTCTGTGATGTAGTTTTTCTTTCCTTTCTCCCAAGAGAGCATGTGGTGCTCATACAGAAAACTAGTGGGATAGAGTGGAGGGGATTACTTCTTTATGTGACCTGTGCAAATACATCTATTTTGATAGGCTGGGACTTGACAGTCTCTTCCAACATGCTGCTTTCTTCTGTTGACTTTGATTTAATCTGAGGTGAGAAATATCTCAATTTAGGAGAGAAGGAATGTATTTTCCTGGAAGGTCAAATATCTGTTCTTCAAATCTTTGGGGATTCTTTGATCTATTTAGACATTTGGAAGGTAAAATCAAGCTCTGTAAACCCTTGGTTATTAATCACAGGTTAGAAAGTCATGATGAGTTGAGTGCACTGCTTAGATATGAATCCACAGCATGGGATCTCTTTTTCAATAGAACAAGGTATCTACTTTTATCCATGATAAATTTTAAAACTACAACATCTGTATCTGAAAATTTTAAGCTATCTGTAATAACACATTTCTTCTCCATCTGAGTGCTGCCTGACATACAAAAAGTTTGCCTTTACAGGGAAACAGTGTCTAAAATTCCCCAAATGGTCTTTAGATGGTCATTTTGCTAACGTGTGCGATGTGTAGATCACATGGTATTGTAGGATAAATATTTAATGATGTGTTGGGAATTGCGGCATAATTAAATAATGGGTTTGCTTCTTGTAAAAGGTGATTATCTCATTTTCATGCCATCATGATCTTTGCTGCACTGTCACAGTCACTTTCTCTGCTTTGACCAGTTGTCTGGTTGTCTGGTGTAAAGAGATATACGTTAACCTGTTGATCTATTGTAACACCTGAGGCTTCCTTAGATCCAGTAGCTGCTCAGTAGGTTCATTTTTCCTATTAGATAGGATACCTCTGATCTAACTCCATCTAGAAGTCTGGCATGGGATCTCAGTTACCCAACAAGACCCTATGGGATGAAACAAATGGTGGCTTTGGGACAAAGTTATGTTGCAAGCAGAGCTGGAAAATCTCAGAAAATAATAAATTTACTCAAAAACAGTGTCAGGGCCATGTGGAATCATGATCATTTGACAAATGTGACTCCTCCCACCCAAGCGTGAAAAGCAAAACTAAAACAAATGTTTTGTAAATTGAACTTTTGTAAATGAAAAGAAGGCAGAAGGAAGCTAAAGTATTGCACTTTTTCACAGAACTAAGTTCCTGTGATAGTGGAAAACATTGTATACTTTGTACAGCGTAAGCCTGATGAATGTATTGTGTGAGTAATGCTTGAATTTCACGAACACAATCCCCCTGGCACTGATGAAAACACAGGGAACACAGATCCTGGACAGACCCACCCTGGCCATCTCTCCAACTCTCTTAGTGCTCTGCCATGTATTTTCATTATGTCAACAGGCACCTTGGCCCTTCATTACATTAAATGGGATTCTTTTTTTTTTTTTCTTTTCAGTAAGAATCAACAAGTTCTTTTAATCCCTAGCTAGGTAATTATAAATTCCTCAGGTTACTGGTTTCATTTCCAAGGGTAAGGCCGAGTGTGTAATTTGCACATACTCTTCTAACCATAGACCTTGTGCTGCAGTAACTTTGCTGTCTATTATAACCGCTGTGCTTCCCTTTGATAACACTATCCTATAAGCATCTGCATTGCTCCCCCCATATCCTAAGGTAATGTTAAATATATCTGCACACCGACTGGCTTTCTGTTCTTGATTAACCTCTGCTTCCAGATATCAGTAGATGTTTCTGGACTGATCACTATTACACTCCAGCAAAGCATCTGTGCCAGTGGTGTCTGAACATTTACGAGTTAGTCAGTCCATTCATTTTTAAGTGAACAAAACCTGCTTGGGACATAGTAATTTCTGGCTTACAACCATGCTTTCCTGTTTGGGTACAGCTGTCTTGTGGGTGAGAAATGTCTTGATTGTGGGTCATTTTCCCCTTGATCTTATGACCACTGAAAGAGGCTTAAGACGAAAAAACATGCTGTAACTTAGAAAAACTGGCTGGGCAAGGCAGCAAAGGTGAAGAGCTATGAAATTCAGCTTTAGCACTCAAAAATCTTTTGCAGAAGAAATTCTGCAGTTGATTTATCAGAGCGTCAGCACAGAAACCCTGTTTGTCCTTGAAATGCTAGGGGAAAAAGGAGAGGAGGGAATCCCCGTCCCCTGACGCTGTAGGTTCGCCCTGCACGAGCAGGTGCGGTGCTTGCCTGGCCTCCCTCCACCCCAGCGAAGTGGGCTCAGTTGCTCCCAAGCATGCAAGGACCGGAGCACCGGTGTTATCTTAGACGGTAGCAGCTTCTCCAATTTTTCAGGTGACTGATCTTCATAAAGGAAAAGGATTTGCAGGACAGACAGCACATGCACAAACAGTAGGATCAAAGCCTTTTGAGAAAAGTATCACGTAAGCCTTCATTCAAAATCCAAGCCAGCATTTCCCTTCCTTGCTCCCATTTTCCCCTCTCGCACTTTTAGCAATTGAGACAGCGCGCCCTGAGAGCCCCTTGGCTTTGTGGGGCTGTTTTCCCCCAGCCCTGAGCATCAGCGATGCGGGCACGCTGCTGCGGGCTGAGCGCTGGCATTCTGCTCCTCCGTTTTACCTGCTGCAGCCGGGAGCTTGCGGAGGTGGCGGCGGCTGCTCCGGCTGCTCTCCTCATCCTCCCCTGCTCCCATCGTCGGGCTCTGCTGGCCGAGGTCCTCCGTGCTCTGCCCAGGTACCATTGCCACCCCCTTTGCACCTTGGGGCAGGAGCACTTCACAGGGCAGCGATCCTTCCCCAGCCGCCAAGGGCAGCGCAGGTCCTTTTCCTCATGGCAACAAGTCGCTGGAGCTGGCTGAAACCAAACGCAAACCACAAAGTGGTTTGTGAACAACTTTGTCACTATTTCAGAAGGCTTTGCCCTTTGCAGTGACACAGGCTGTTGCTATTCTTGGGAGCCTATTGCAGGCGAGGGGAGGGCCGTCTGTCGGAAGTATTGCTCTTGCCGTTTAACAAATAGTTGGAGACATCAGACATCCAGGCACAGCTCGATGCACATTCCTTACCCATTAGCTTAAAGGGTCTCTCTCTCCCTCTCTTTTCCTCCTCTCTCTGGTGCTCCTATGCACAGGTTTTTAACAGAGAAGGCACACTGAAGGGGAGGATTTGAAGTGTTTGCTGCGCCAGCTAAAGTTAGGGCACTGGGCACACACACATGGCATTGTTTCATTCTTGAAAATCATGAGCAAGTTGTGGTGAGAAATAGCGGAGAGGAAAAAAGTCTGTGATGGTAGGAGTCAGGATTTGTCACGGCATAGATGCGTGTGCTATTTCACAAGCAAATGAAAGGCAAACGACCCACTCTTTCATGACAATTATTTGTGGGAAAACTGGCTGTCTCAGTTGGGAGCTGCTAGGAGTCCACTCCATCCCTCCTAGCTTTGGTGGGAGCAGTGGCCAGAGGCTGGACCCCAGCAGCAGGGAAAGCTACAGCAGGTACAGGCGAGCTGCCCAGAGGGGCTGCCTTGTCCTGGTCCTGGTCCTGGTCCTGGTCCTGGTCCTGGTGTGGGAACCTCTGAATGCCCTCAGCAGACCCGCTGGCCTCAGTGAGGCAAGCTGTCTAAGCTATCCCCAGGGGGAATTGACATTCTGTAATTTGGCAGTGCTGCAGGCTTCTTGTTTGTGCTCTTTTTCTCTTTCATTACTTTCTGTTTTGTCTTGGTTGGTTTTGTTTTAATACACTAATGCCTGCAGATAGTGTAGGAGGGAAGGCAGAGGTGGAAAGTTGGTAGCTTTTGCAACATTTCCAGGAAGGAAAATTCCTAAACATTTTTTCCTGAAGTACAGCAGGCATGATACACCCTTTATTGGTGTTTGCTTGACAAGAAAATCTGACAAAAGACACTGTAACTACCCTGTCTGACAGCTGCCTCACAGTCAGCTTCAGAAGCTGGAGTGCCAGGGGCACCGGTTCCAGTGGGGAGTTTGGTTTTGGCAGTGCCTTTGGCGTGGAGTTAAGTAAGTCAGCCTAGCTCTGCTCTCATGTGTAACATATTTTCCATGTAAAATGTCTACCTGTCAGGCAGTACAGGACACTATCAGGGCTGTTAACAATTTGTTGCCACATCCCGAGAGGTGGTGTTTCCTCATGGGGTATGTGCAAAAAGTAATGTTGACTTTTAAAGAAATTATTCTGATATTTTGGGGAAAAAATGAGAGGATGTTTAGGCTGGGGAAGGAGAGGAAATTTTTTTAAATATTACACACAGCTGTGACAAGATTCCTCTGTTATAATGTGGTGTGTAACTGACCACCTCTAACAGCCCACACCTCAACTAACTCACAGCTCAGCTCAAGTGCCTGCCCTCTGGAAACTCAGCCAACTCCATAGCTGAACACTTGTTCCCACCTCCCCCGTGCTTTTATATGTAGTGTTCCTGGAGAAGTCAGAGAGCTGCTGAGATGCCTGTGGCATCTCACCGGGGAGCAAAGCTGTGTTCCCAGATGTGTGGCCCTTGAAGATGCTCTGGAGTTCGCTCCTCCTGCCCAGACCCGCTGCCTGTGGAGGGCTGACCCTAAGGCAGTGACCCCGCTGCCTGCTGAGGAGCCGAGAGAAAAAGAGAGTTCAGTCCAGTCTTCAGCTGAATAGCCGGTTCAGCTTCACAGAGAACTGACGAGAGGCTCTACGGGCTTGCGGCAAGGTCTGGCAGAAAGGGGAGATGTCTTTAAGGGGGAATTCCTGGCGGGAAGTGAGGCATCCTGAACAGCCCAAACTGATGATGGACTTCCTCCATCCTGTGCTGTCTTTGCACCAGGATTATTCATATATTCTCAATTGTTAAATTTGTACACGTGGAGTTACGGAACATTCCATTTAGAAAATCTGTCCCATCCTTAGGTGATCAGATATACAAGAATTGACTACTTAATTTTACTATTAGCTTTTACCATCCAGCTGACAGGAGGCTGCTTTGCTGAAATAGGGACTGCTGTGTGAAATTATCGAGACAAGCTTGCAGCACAGCACTGGTAGGACTGGAAGTAGCCATCACTCCTTCCTGCATTTGTGAAGAATTCATGCAGCCTTTCTTCATCCCCTCGTTCCACCAGTTCCACCCAAAACTGATTCTGCAAATCTCTATGGAGGCAGCCTGGGCAGGTGTCTCCACTCCTGTCACACTGGTAGAGTGTCCTTCTTCAGCTGTGAGCTGAATTGGACTCATCAGGTATAGGATATTACTAATTTTGATGGAAGTAAGAGTTGTAATGCAGCTGTAGCCCTTTCTGTTCAAAACCTCCCCTCTAAATGCAGTCCTCCAACTAAATACACTGATTATGTATACCTGCTGGCACTTGTATACTTTGGGAAGAACTTAAAAGCTTGTTAGGAGCTGCACCTTCCTCCAAACAAGAAGCATACTACCCCCAGGAGTAATAAAAAGAAAAAACTGTTTTCCATCGAGTTCCCACATCTTGCAATGAACAGATTTAAAGTGATAAACGTTAATCCAATACAACAGTGAATTTCAATCTTTTTTTGTAATTAGGAAAAATAAAAGATATTTTAGAAAAAGAGTGGGATTTCTTTTAACTGTTTTAAATGTAGAGTTCAGTGCTACCTACATTCCCCGCAGAAGCCAGAGCCTAGACTAATTTTTAAATGTTTACCTAGTTGTTTACTCAGAAATCCATCAGACTAATCTTCTGAAAATGAAGGTCAAAAAAATCCATTTTTCCTCCCTAGTTCTGCCTTTATTTCACAGTATCTATGCCAGCTCCAGCACAGCAATGGCATAACTTTGCACCCTGTGGTAACCTCAGGAGGAACCTAGCTTTCATAGATGGTAAAGCAGCCAGTACACAGCACAAACCATAATGGCCAGATAAAAAATGAAGGAATACATCGTTATTCTGGGGGTTTGTGTTCGGGCTGCCCAAAGGACAGTGCACCCTTCATGCGCTGGGCTGCGGGTGCTGCAGAGGTGCCAGGGTGCTTCCTGGGCTTCGAGCTGCTCCCTAAGTTACACCCCATGCCAAAAACACTGTATCAGGGTGATAAGGTCTTAGGGAAAAATGTTCCCAGTAAGTGGATATGTGAAGTATTTTATCCTGAGATCTGCTGCTTGGCATGGCATCAGTATGAGGAATGTTTTGCAGCACCATTGGTAGCCAGCTGATAGTGAAAAGCCGCAGCTCAGCAGGTGCAAGAATCAGTTTTCACAGTTGTGGCTGAAAACCTGAGGCACCAGTGTTATTGGTGTTAACTGGCATTAACTGGTGTCCCAGAAAAGCAAGAAACTGGGAAAAAAATGGTTCCAGCCAATGAAAGCAAACAGAGGGAGGGAAAGCAAACAGCCTGTGCTGGTTCTGCAGCCAAGGCAGTTGTAAAGGGATCTCATGAAACGCAGCGACTGTGAAACCCTTGCTGGTGGCCACAGGGTCCTGCTCCCACAGCCCTGTACCCGCTCCGTTTCCCAGAAAAAATAAACAGGGAAGCAAACAAGCAAAACTCCAGTACAACAGACAAGAACAGGATAAGGAGGAAGAAAAAGGAGTGTGCTTCACCACTTTTCCATGCTCTGTTCTTTTCTTCTTACTGCCTTGCCTGCGGATGCTGTTAACAACTTCTTGGCTCGAGCTGTGCACCCCAGAGCGAGGGGTGTCAGTCAGAGCAGGGGCAGGGGGGCTGCCGGGGGGTGCGAGGTGGGAAAGGATCGTGCCTGCTCTGAGGCTCGCACTGCCGCCTGGGAAAGGAGTCCCGCTGGAACCAGGGGGGTGGGGAGAAATGTTCCAGAAGGCAAAAAAATCCCAAGCGCCGGGGTAGACAAACAACTTAATGACGCTCTGAAGAGTATGAGCCCCAGCTCCACAACTGTGCCTTTTGAGGCTGAGTCACGTGCCTTAGGAGAAAGAAGAGTGGAAAAGATAAAAAAGCCAAAAGCAGGAGAGGGTCAGGAGACGAGCCAGGGGTATGAGTGTAACACTGTCATGAGATTCCTGTTGGTTTTGTCCATGTGCAGTTGGCAAGAAATCATCTCTTCTGATATTTTCCCCAATTCCTTGCTTTCAAAACTGACCAAACAGTTTATAATCATAGGTATGATTAAGCTAGAAAAAGAAGAGAAGATATTCACATTAAATTGCTGAGTAATCAGCCTGCAAAATCTGTGAGGCTGAGGTGGGCATTTCTTCTAAAATCTGATCATGATTGTATTTGTCTGCATTTCCAATGATCTAATAACTCAAATTATGGACTGTGGAGAGACAGGGAAGTTGGCATTAAGCCAATATGAATGAGTCAAGAGCTGAGGGGCTTTCTAAATCAGTTTTCTTAGGCCATTTTTATCAGGGTTGGAGTAAAGAAGGTGATCTTATTTCCCTGTAGATTTTATGGCTCTCAGAAAGAAGATAGTGGAAGTCTCCCAATTAATTTATTCTAAAATATGTAAATAAAGTTTTTCAGCGAAACTACGGAGAGGATTTTCTTGACATATCAGATGAAGTTAAGCTGCCTGCATCTGTGATCACTGAGCTTTGCCCTCAGAACTAACAGTTTGCCATTTGCAGAATAGGTTCATAAAATAGCCAGCACAGGACAACATGAGGGAGGCTGGGAGGATGACAGAAGGAAAGAAACATGGAAAGAAAAGAAAGAAATAGAGCAAAAAACCCCAGAAAAATGTACCATTTATTCCAGAAAAAAAGTACCAATCTAAAAAAGTGCGAGTAGCCTTTCCCATTAGTGTTGACGCATTGACACCCACACGCAAGGGGGAAAATGTGCCAAAATTCCAGTCACAGAGCAATGAAAACTAGATTAAAAAGAGAGAGCTGTCTCAAGGAAGTGAAATGATCCATCCTTGAGGAACTGTGAATATAAAGAAGATAATTGTTATTACTGCTGTGAAGC